ACATTATCCAACTAAAATTTCTTTTATCTTATTTAACAACTCCAAAAGACTTCAGAGTGAATGACTGTTTCTCAGTTACTGTGTTGCTTTTTTTGGTTTATGTTGCCTTAACCTATGAGGTTATCTAAAGATAAGAATAGAAAATTTTCACTTTACATGGCAATTGTTCAGTTGTAGCCTTTACTAACTTAAGGGAGGAAATGAGGTTCAGAACTAATATAACAAAGTCAAGCCACTGGTGTAAGTTTTACATCATTCCAGTTATCTTTATCAGAAACATGGCAAAACATCTACATTTTGCCTGGTCTTAAGGATAAATGATACAAAACTACCCCAATTCACGTAATTTCCTTCAGAAGCCACAAACTGCTCTCTGACAGCCAAAACACTCAGAAACTGAATAGCTGTGTTGAAACCTGGAACCAGCTGTATTTTGAAATTTTCTTCACAGCTCCATAAAGTGTTTTCAACAGAAACGTTGTCATAAGCCACATATACAGCCAAATCTCCAAGTTAACAGAGAGAAAATATCTAGATCTTATATATGTTTTCCTACATTAAGGAAGTTCTCAGATGGAGTTTAGAACTGGAATGTACTTTAGAAATCAGCTTGTAAAATTAAATAACTGCAGCTGAGAAATGTTAGAGAACTACAACCAAAAGAAAAACCAAACTCATTGCTGTCAAGTCAATTCCGACTCATAGCAGCCCTATAGGACAGGGTACAATTGCCCTCTAGGGTTTCCAAGGCTTTTAGGGTACAATTGCCCTATAGGCTTTCCAAGGCTTTAAATCTTTACAGAAGCAGACTGCCACATCTTTCTCCTGCAGAGTGGCTGGTGGGTTCAACCGCCAACCTTTCGATAGCAGCCAAGCACTTAACCACTGTGCCATCAGGGCCCCTGTTAGAGAACTAATCACGTGCAAAAGTCAAGACTTGAACCCAGGTCTCCCCAAGTTATCTAGTGCTCTTTGGTAAGAATTGTTTCCATAGCATACACAGCTTTTTAAAATATACAAATCCTGAGAAATCTTAATTACAGAGGTCTCCACTTGGTAGGCGTAGAGAAATTGTTAATATAACTAAAATGAAATGTGCATTGAGATGGTGGGAAAGTTAATAGAATAGAATAGAAAAATGACAGAGCAAGAAACATAAATATTTCGTGATGATCCCTGAGTGATTAAGGGATTGTGTGCTGTGAATGTATACAATGTAACCATCAGCATATGAACATATTAAGCAAATTTCACCTTACAATAAACAGCCACATCAATAGTCAATAAAGGTAAAGCCCAAGACAATTAGATAATCAGATTCTGAATTTTCAATATGCCAGAAATCTATTTATGAGTCAAGAACACAAAGCAAAGAACAGAAAGAAGCCAAGGGTATGACCTACAACAGAACTATGAAAACACAACCTGCCTATTTCTGGAACAGGTCATACAGGTCAAGAATCTTGGGATAGAGGGGTGGTGTGGGCAGGAAGCAGGAGAACTCCTATGTCTGTGCGGGTAGCATCTCTGGTCCTTCCTTCCTCAGTCCCAGAGGGGAGGACGGGAAGTCTCCTGAATGAATGTGGCTTTGAGGCCAGAGTGAGCCACAAGGGAAGTGTAGCAACTCTAGCACCCTGCCATGTTAGTCGGCCTCTCCAAACAAGCCCTTGAAAAGGGATGTAGCAAGTGAAAATGAAATGCAGAATGTTATGTAGAGACATGTATATTTGACTCACACGAATACAGTCAAAACATCTTACAAATGCTCAACCAAATGAAATAGACACTCACCAAAGTGTTGCTGCCTAGGGCATGAGATCTGATAAATAATATAGTAAGAGCACCACTTTCCCCATCTACACACTCCCTTTCTCAGGGATAAATCAGGAGGTTCTGTGTAGAGGGTGGGAATAGTTTCCTTCTGTTTCGCTGTGCTGATTTAAAGGAAAACATGTGAATTATTCAGAAAAATGAAAAACAGAGCACTTTGATAAGGAAGGGAAAATGTTTCTCCGGAGAAAGAACTCTGAGATTATCTAAGGGTCAGAAAGGAGAAAACATCATTTACGTTAAATTTTCTGGAAGCTCTTTGGGATTTTTATAGGCAATCCATGACTAGATTTAATTGTTCAAGAATAACAATGCAATTTCATAGAGGCAAAGATTTTAATTTCATAAAGGCTTTCTTTAGAAAATAAAGAGTTTTCAGAGATATTCCATCTGTCCTCATGAGCGTCCTTTTGGTGCAGTTCTGAGCTGACCTCTCGCTCCCACATTCCTCTACCTGTTTATATCAAAACAAAGGCAGGCAGAACTCTGAACTGACAAGAGACATTTGGACCATCTGAGATTCTGGAAAAAGTGAAAACACACAGAAGGACATGTCCACCTGGGAACTTACAACCCTGCCATCTTCAGTACTACAGGTAAAGAACCTTTTGGCCCTTTTCAATGTAAAGGAATTTCATTTTATTGCAACATAGAGAACCTTGGAACCATCTTTAATTTTGGCAATATAGACTCAAAAATTTATACACAGCATGCCGAATGAACAAAAAGCAAGGGGTATGTTCCAACCCACAACAGTTTTAGCTGCAGTATTTTTTTATATTTCTTTAATTTTATCAGATACATGTATGTAGTATTTACTCTGTGCCATGAATAGTTATAAGTGCTTTACAAACAGTAACTCATTTAAGCCTCATCTTGGTATATGAGGTATGTACTATTTTTTGTCCCTTTTAGAAAAATAAAGCACAGAAAGGCTGAGTGACTTGCCCAAAGTCATAAAGCTAGTAAGAGGTGAAACTGGCATTTAAACCCAGGCAGTCTTGCTCCAGAATCCACGTTCCCTGCCATTATGCTGCCTCTTAAACTTTCATGCTTTTGCCAGACCTAAGGTTGAAATAAACTGATGTGCACAGTATCATCTCACGCATTTTTATAACATTTTCATCTAAAAAATTAATTCACATCATGTGGCAGTTTCCTCAGATTTGTAAGGAATAACAGGAAGGAAAAGGGAAATACTATCAAATACTATATGTGACCATATTGCATTCTTTTGGAAACAAGATTAAGGTATAAAAAAACAACAAAATAGTGTTCCGTATCTTCTAAGAAAGGTACTGTGCAGAAAGAGAAATACTAGAAAATACCTTGAATGTTTAAATTTTGTAATGCCACCGTAACTTTGAAAGGTCTTTTCACTCACTCAAATTCAGAATGGCCAAGCTAGTTCATAGTAGAGAAAACTTAATTACATAGTAAAGAGAAACAGAACAGCTCTTAGAGGCTCTTCCTGGGGAATTCCAGAGTCGCTGAACCTCTAAGAATCCAAAGTGTTTTCTCTTGAAATTCTTCAGTCCATCTGGCAGAGTGCACAAGTACTCCTACACCTCTCCCGACTGCCTGCATCTGCCTGCCTTCTCGAAAGGTACACTCCACTGCTGCTCCAGGCCTGCTGCCAACGCAGCCCTGTCCTGGGTGGGGCTCAGGGACTGCATGCACCTCACAGCACTTCAACACTCACTATGGAAGTGTCCTACTAACTAAGACAGCAAAGAAGGAAGAAGCTGTCTCCATTCTTGCAAAGAAACTACTCATTTCTCATTCAGGAGGGTTGTGTGCTGGGGTGTGGGTGTGTGTGTCTGTCCAAGAGAATGGTCCTCTCTTCACCCTTTGGGTATCAGTAGTCTGACGTCTCTTTAAATTCCACACCTGTGATCTCTGGCTATGTAAATACTCTGACACCCAGGTATAACTGGCACAGGACTAAATTCCACCTGGCACCTATCTTCTTTCTGGCCATCTTCCCTTAAACAAAATGCTAGGTAGGCTAACCAGTGGGGAGACAGTAATCTGCCTATCTCCCTCCAACAAGATGCAATGGCCGACTTGCAAAGGGTCTAGCTCTGTGGCTTGCATATAGCAAGCAGACAAACATTAGACACTTCACTTTTCCATCCCCAACTCAGAGATGTCAACCTATGACCGTCTCTCTTCCTCCTCAAAAATTAAGCATAGATATCACATGTACTTCTCAAAGATTAACAAAGTTGAGGGAATGCCTAACTTTCCTAAACTTGAATTTCCCTGACTCCTCACACTGCTGACATACCTCTGAAGTAGGCTCCTCCTTTTCTCCTCTTGCTTTCTCTACTCCCCTAAGCCCCTCCCTCATTAGGGCAACAGAACGTACATCCCAGTGTGGAACGTAACTTAGTTCCCATCATCTCGCCAGGCACGCCAACATAATACTCTAAAGATGTCCCAGAAATGTATTTCATTGTTTGGGGATGGTTGGTTGGTTGTTTTGGGGCAGGAGGGCAAGTGGGGATACAATTGGAGCTCCAGATAAAACGCTAAAAAATTCTTCTCAAGCTCTTGTGATGTGGCTCTGAATTTCACCGTTAAAATATGTGATCTTGGCAAAGGTAAAACGAGTATTCTGATCTGGCACCTATCACACGATGTTGACAACTTACAGAACTTCGGAATGGTGTTTTTTTCAGGGGGTTATTTGATTATACTGGGTGGTCCATTTAGAATAGTCAATACACCTCACTTCAAAAACAGACTTAGAAATGGGCCACTTTACATGACAGCTATGGGTAAGGATTTTATAAGTGCTATGAGGTTCGGGATTTATTTAGTGTAAATACAGTCTAGACCCATTATCTTACCTCCATCTCAGAGCCTAGAGCAAAGAAAGGAGTGAGCCTGCCGGGCAAACAGGAGATGGAGACATTGGGTACAAATGCTAAAATGAGCATCCTAGGAGGCTCTCTGAGAACAACAAAGCTGCACCTTAATAGAGGTGGCTCAGGCTGTGAGGGCCAGAATAAGGAGTCAGGGATTATACCTGAAAAGTCACACGCCAGACCCACACAGCCAATCCTTGCTCAGTACCAAGCTCTCTGGTGTGTGGAGTGAGGCCATGAACGATGGTGGAAAGCCCCACCTCGCAAGTGGCTGAAGGCCCCAGGGATGATACTCACGCTGACACTGTCCCCAGGACCGGCGAGCCCAGCCCCAGCAGCAATCAATCCTTCCTCCATAACGGCACAGGCCAGTGGACGACACTATTTGTCTGGGCCACCTACCGAACAAAAAGATCCAAAATAAATAAAGACACTATTGAAATTAAATATAAATTTCTCTTTTTTGTTATTTTAGAATTTTTTTAAACCACATCCAACAATTTCCTACTAACTCCTTCATGCCTGAAGAAATTTAGGGATCAAGCAGCCTCACAGAAATAGTTCTGTTATGATCTAATTCCAAATTTCAGACAGTTAAACACACATATATATCTAAGAGACAAGAAGTGGAGGCAGATTTTTTCTTAACTGTAAATAGCACCAGCTAAAATCAAGAATTCTCAGGGCTGCTACTCACAGGGTGGTTTTCAGGCTGGAAATAAAACAGATTCCTCAAAGGTAGGCACCTGTTGGGGAGGAGGGGCACTTTTGAGTGATTCATCTAAACTGGCAAGTGTTAAATAATACAGGACATGTCAATGAAGAAAATAATTCATTTCTGTCTCATTTAAAGGGTGAAAGGGGAAGGGGCATAAAGAAGGGATCAAATGAAACAGAGCTCTTTTTGAGATATGATTCTGACAGAAAGCAGTCCCAGAAGAAAGAAATGTACTAGAAAAGGAAACCTAAATCAAACCAAGGAGAGTTTAAAGTGTACCTGACATCTCAAGTGTCTTTGTGGTTTGAAACTTTCCTGCATCAATAATTCATATTATTTTCCTCTCTAATGCAAATAAGGAGCCCCAGTGGCACAGAGGTTAAGAGCTTGGCTGCTAACCAAAAGGTCACAGTTGGAATCCACCAGCTGCTCCTTGAAAAACCTATGGGGCAGTTTTACTCTGTCCTAAAGGGTCGCTATGAGTTGGAATCGACTAGTAGACAACAGCTTTTAATGTAAATAAGGACTAAAGAAAGTGCTCAGTTTCGGGATACTGATTTATCCGCCAGATTCCACTCTTGACACCTTATTTGGTAAATTGTTTCCTTGTTTAGATTCACATCTAAACGACATTTTGGGGAGAGCGCAGGGGATTGACATTTCAACCGGGTGTTTTAAATACCTTTTTAAAGCTATATGAAAATCGTGTGCATAATCAGGTGATGTATTTCTTGTTGGAAATATGTGTACAAGAAATGCACAACACATCCATGTGTGCCTCGGCAAAGAATTGCTTTAAAAAATAAAAAAGTCTTGCCTCTGGCCGCTGAGCCACGGTTTCTTAAACTCTCTTTATCTCTTCAACTGCCCTTTCCCTTACCTCTCCGCTAAGCCCCTAGGCTCAAAGTATAAAATAACCCCGAACTTTCCATTTCCTCCAGCCAGGTGGTAAACAAGCAGCTGTGCTTTTGCATCTCAACGCTCCACTGGTTCCCCTCTGGTCCCTTCCAGGTACAAGAAAGCCAGTCTATCGTGGAATTGATTCGTTCCAAGATTGCAGGGTAAACAGCTGTGGCATCTTTATTTGGGGCTGCGCAGGGAGATCCATGGCGGGGCAGAGGGAGGAGTGTCGCTGAAGAAGGGTGACTGGGTGGCCCTGTGACCCAGGTTAACTCCCCTCCCCCCAACCGCGCCCCGGGCTGCGCCTGCTTCAGTTTCTACAAGAGCAGCAACGAACGGCGCTCCGGGACAGTCCGGTCTGTAACTGCGTGGAGTGGGGTAACCGAGCACAGCCTCCCGAGCGACACACGCACACACGCACACGCTCACACACACACAAACACACACACACTCACTCACTCACACGCCCGAGCGGATCCGGCCGCAGGGTGGGGAGAGGGCGCCGCGCGCCGCCGCCAGAGGATCGGCTGAGTGACAGCGGAGACGGAGTCCGGGACTGTTGGAACCTGTCAGAGCACGCAGCAGTCAGGCTGCCCGAGGTCTCAGGAGCAGTGTGCGGGCACACTCACACAGTAGCGCTTCCCCCTCCTTGGTCCTTATTTTAAGTCCTCCTCCCTCAAAAATAAGAACAAGCAGGGAGGCAAACAAGTCCCCGCTCGTAGGCCAGTCGCTTCCCACCCCTATGTGTGACCAGCCCTGACAGATTTGAGCTGGGATTCGCCCCAGTAAATGGAAGTTTTCCCCACTGTAGAGTCGTCTAAATAATTTCCCGGTCAATGGATGGCCCGCGCATCGCCTTTGCTTAGGGTGCTAAAGCTCAGGGTCGCGATCTTGGACTCGAATATCTCTTGTCCCCCAGGCTAATTCGCGCGCCTGGAGCCGGGGTGGGCGGCTCGCCCCCGCCGCGGAGCCGCCCTCCGGGAGCTGCGACAGGGTTCTCCGATTCACAGGGAGCAGGCAGCCGCTAGGAGTGACTCGACGGCTCTCCTGTCCTGGCGCAGCTTCTGGGCAGGGAAGTCTCCTCTCTGACCATGTAACTCCCGGGAGAGGGGACCCCAGAGCAGGGAGCCTGAACTCAGCACGGGAAGGAGGAAAAGAGGGGGAGAGGGCGCCCCAAGGTCCAGCTCACCTCCCGTCGAACTCGGCGGCCGTCTGCAGGTAGAGCGAGGACGCGAGCACCAGCGCCAGGAGGAAATCCATGCTTGGCGGCGAGTCCCGGAGGCAGCGCAGCCGAGCGAGGGGAACAGGTTGCGGGTGCTGTGCGCGGAGTTAAGGCGCGCTCGCCTCCTCAGCTCCGCTCTCCCGCGGCGACTGTAAGCTGCGGGCCCCGGGAACCCCCTGTCGTCGCCGCCGCCAGAGCTGCCACTCCCGGAGGAAGGCGGCGCGGCGCGCAGCCGGAGCAGGTCTGCCGCGCGGCGCCGGTAGCCCCTGCGGCTCCCTTGCCGCGAGGGAGGCGCTGCAGGGGGAGCGGTGCTGCCCAAGGGGAGGGGCGCGGGAGTGGGGGCGCGCGTGCGCCCGACTCGCCGCCCTCCCAGCCCGGGCTAGGGGTGAGGGCGCTCGGCCTCTCCCAGGGGCCTGCAGAGCGGGAAGGCAACGTCTTTTGGGGACCAGCCAAGCGGGGTGAGCCCCAGGCTGGGAGAAAAGTTGCAAGCCGGGCCTGGGAGATGGAAAGCAGGGTGCTGAGCAGGAAAGGGTGAGCCGGGAAGGAAGGGAGCCTGGGGCGTAGGTGCGCGCTCTGCGGATTCCGCCCGAACAGGTGGTGACCACAGGGACAAACCATAGATTTTGCCGGAGGGCGAAGAAGCCCAAGACGCGAGAGGTTTATGGGGCTGGAGCTGAGCAGTGTCTAATTCAGTGAAACCACAGCACGACTTGGACAAATTAGCAAAGGCAAACTCCGGGAGTTGCTTCTCCCACAGAGTTGGCAAAGACATAATTTTTATTTTGTAACCAACCGAAAGAAATGTTTGGCCCGCCAGTCGAGTGTTGAAGAAGAAACGTGCAGACTGTTTTTCTATCTCCGCCAGCTCAACTCTGAACACATTAGGAGAAATAGCAGCGGCTGCCCCTCCAGGGGCACGTGCCTGCCAGAGACGGAGGCTGTTACTGCTAGACAACGCTGCGGTGCCTGATGTTGTGGAGGAGATCATTTAGACACCATTGTAAGCAGTCATTGCTTTATTGTTGCAAAGTAAAAAGTATTGTGCTGAAGAACTGTGTTCATATGAAAACACACAATCGTTATCTTAAAATGCGCTTTAAAGCATTTATCAGATCAAGTCATCTCTTCTCAAACCCTACTTCGAATAGCTCCCCTGTGCAGTTATCTGCTGTCTCGCCTACCACTGGACCTAATCTATTCTCTTTCCCCAGTCCATGGCCTCCTCACCCTTTCTGGCACACTCCAGGCATGCCCCTATCTTAGGGCAATTGACTGGCTGTTACCTCTGCCGGGACCCAGATTATTGGCATGGCTCACATTCTCCCTTTTTTTTTTTAAGTCTTTGCTCAAATATTATCTCTTTGACCAAACCAGCTATGACTGCCCTGTTTAAAATTGCAATCTGCCCGCTACCCTATTCTGCTGCCTTTTCTCCATACTCCTCATCTTCTAGCTTACTATATAACTTGCTTAATCTTGTTTGTCTTCTTTCTGTTAGAATACAAACTCTACAAGGGCAGGTATCTTTGTTTAGTGCCTAAAACAGTGTCTGGCACATAGTGGGTAGTCATAAATGTTTGTGGAATGAATTTGTTACATGAAAAACTTTTTCCATCTTCATTTCTTTTTTGAGGTTTCTACAACTTCACGTTTTTAATGGAAAGTTCTGTGGCAGAGTGACCTCACTCTCCTGATCTTTCAGGGTGTGTAAAAACAGGCATTTTCTGCAACAAAAGGAAAAATAATGGTTTCAACTTAAACAACTCTTTGACTTCCAAGTTGTTTTCTGTTAGCAAAACAAGTTTCTATTTTAACCTCAGGAAATATCCATGCCAACTCAGGCTTGGGACATTATTTTAGGCAAACAGCTTGGTGTCATCCATTTCAGATCCTTCTAATGAAGTCCAAAAATGTGGTTATCAAAATATTTTTTCTGCAGAAAATCAAATTTTGTAAGGGTAATGTAGGCTTGGTTCCAGGCTTCAGAGGCTACTCCTTAGCCATTTTCTTTGCTTATTTGATCCTCGTTTGAGTTTGCAAATAAGCCCTACCGGAGCAATGGATGAGTAGGGAGAAAAGGCTAACCTACAGGCTGAAAAACTGGAAATGGAACAAAAGGGGAAAAGTGGCAGCTGAAAACGGGGTGGGTGTCTGGAGCAAAGTGTAATGTCCCATCTGCATGCCTCTCTGTCTTAGTTATCTAGTGCTGCTATAACAGAAATACCACAAGTGGATGACTTCAACACACAGAAGTTTACTCTCTCACAGTCTAGTAGGCTAGAAGTCCAAATTCAGGGCACCAGCTCCAGGGGAAAGCTTTCTCTCTCTGTTGGCTCTGGAGGAAGGTCGTTGTCATCAATCTTCCCTTGGTCAAGGAGATGCTGCATGCAGGAACCCCAGGTCCAAAGGATGCGCACTGCTACCAGCGCTGCTTCCTTGATGGTATGAGGTCCCCATGTGTCTCTGCTTGCTTCTCTCTTTCATATCTCAAAAGAGATTGACTTAAAACGCAACCTCATCTTGTAGATTGAGTCCTGCCTCATTAACATATCTGCCTCTAATCCTACCTCATTAACATCATAGAGGTAGGATCCACACACATAGAAAAATCACATGAGATGACAAAATGGTAGACAATCACACAATACTGGGAATCATGCCCTAGCCAAGTTGACATATATTTTGGGGGGACACAATTCAATCCATGACACTCTTTTATTTTTTCCTCTTGTCTTTGGCTCAAAAAACATTCTATTCTTTCCTTTCTGTATTTGGACAGTCCCACTTACCCTTTCGGTACCCGCGTAGCTGACACTTGCCCAGGAAGCAAGCCTTTTTTGATTTTTTGCTTGGTTGAGACTCCTGTCATATATGCTCTCCTAGTGTAGCTTTGGAGTCCTGGTGGCACAGTGGTTAAGTGTTTGGCTGCTAACCAAAAGGTCAGTGGTTCGAAACCACCAGCTGCTCGGTGGGAGAAAGATGTAGCAGTCTGTTTCCATAAAGATTTTACAGCTTTGGAAACGCGATGGGGCAGTTCTACTCTGTCCTATAGGGTCACTAAGAATCGGAATCAACTCGATGGCAACGGTTGTTTTCTTTTTTTTTTTGTGGTGTAATTGTTAAGCATTTGGCTGCTACCCGTTGATGGTTCAAACCCACCCAGTGGCTCCATAGGAGAAAGACCTGGCAATCTGCTCCCCTAAAAATTACAGCCTAGAAAACCCTATGGGGCAGTTCTACTCCATCGCATGGGGTCGCTGTGAGTCGAAATTGACTTCACAGCACCTAACAGCAACAATACAGCTTTTAAAGGAGCTTTGGTGTCACAATGGTTAAGCACTTAGCTGCTAACCATAATGTTGGCAGTTCTAAGCCGCTAGCTGCTCTGTGGGAGAAGAGACCTGCCGATCTGGTCCCATAAAGATTACAGCCTAGGAAACCCTAAAGGGAGGTTCTACACTGTCACATTGGATCACTATGAGTCGGAATCAACTCAATGGCACCCAACAACAACATCGTAGCTTTTAATGTGTACGTTTTAATTGCCTCCACCACTCCGTGTTCCCATGAAACACCAGGCTAACCAACAAGGAGGCCCAAGCAGTGCCTGTCTCGTCATTACATCCCTTGTGTGCAGCCCAATACCTGGCAGAAGCCTTCAGTTCAGTAAATTGTGAACGGATTGGATTTGATTGGGTTCTGCTGAGTGAATTTTAGCTTCTGTCTTGAGTAAGCTGTAACTAATTCTATCTGACTTTGTTGCACAATGAACTAAGACCCTAAAGACTTTCCAAAGGTCTCACTGGTTGCTGTGCTGCGGGTATGACCACCAGTGATCTTTCCAAAAAAGGTAGTTTCCCTGGGAGTGATATTTCAATATCTCAGTCTTAAAAACAAACAAGCATGACCAGATGAAAGTTACTTGTTTTTAGCAATATCTGTATTTTTCCAGTAGAACAACTTTTTGGTTAGGTTTCCTACCAGGCAATGCCACCTTACAAGTAGTAACCTCAGTTTTCTCGCACACAAATAATTATCTATCTTTGATCACAATGTGATAGAGATAAATAACAAAACAGAACCAAACACACATAACTTCAAACACTTGAGATTAAAAAGCTGTTAATGATGTAGTCATTTTTTCTTAACATATATTTACTGAGAGTCTATGATGTCTTGGCCATTTCTGTTGTTGTTTTTGTTGCTGTTACTTCGTTAGTTGCTATCGGGTTGGCTCCGACTCACGGCAACCCCGTGTACCACATAATGAAACATTGCCAGGTCCTACGCCGTCTTCATGATCCTTGGCGTGTTTGCATCCATTGTTACAGCCATTGTGTCGTGTCTTCCAACGTAGGGGACTCCTCTTCCAGCACTATATTGAACAGTATTCTGTAGTACTCCATAGGGTTTTCGTGGGCTAATTTTCAGAAGTAGTTCACCAGGCCTTTCTTCCTAGTCTGTCTTAGTCTGGAAGCTCTGTTGAAAACTGTCCACCATGGGTGGCCCTGCTGGTATTTGAAATACTAATGGCATATGATAGCTTCCAGCCTTGTAGCAACACACAATCCACTACAGTACAACAAACTGACAGACGAGTTGTGGCCATTTCTAGGTGCTGGAAATCCAGCTGGGAGCAAGACGAAGTCCTGCCCTAAAAGAGTTAACATTCCAGTGACGGAGCAAGACAGTAATTGCTATGAAGAAATGTAGGGGAGGATAAGATGATACAAAGTGATGGAGCTGTGATTTTAGAAGGGGTGGTTTGGACACCTCTGGGGAGTGACATTTGAGCAGAGACTGAATTAAGTGAGGGAAAGAGTTATATGAGGGTCTGGGGTAGGGACAGTGTGCACGCAGAGGGCAAAGCAAGATCTGTGTCCTCATCAAGTTCTGATATAACCTCTCATAGTTAGTGTCACGCAAACTGTTATACAAGCTATTGCTCCCCCCACCCCATCTAAAGCGGTGGCAGAGGGATAGGGAAAAGAAGAAACCATTGCCATCAAGTTGATTCTGACTTGTAGCGACCCTCTAGGACAGAGTAGAACTGCCCCATAGTGTTTCCAAGGCTGTAATATTTACGGGAGCAGGCTGTCATGTCTTTCCCCTGTGAAGCAACTGGTGGGTTTGAACCACGGAACTTTCGGTAGCAGCCAATCACTTAACAACTGCACCACCACGGCTCTTTCAGGGATAAGATTAGCGCTTTAAAAACTCATTAAGAAAAGAGAAGAATGAGGAACACATGGTGTTCTTTTACAGCAATTTTGATTCCC